GTGCCGCAGGAATTTAATTGTGAAACAAAGCTATTAATGGTCATATTTTTATAGATATTTTATATGACAAATTCCAACAGTAAAAACTAATTTTGAGAATGACTTTACACCACCAAATTGTCAGTATTTGTAGTTTCTCTGGGGAAAAGAGTTATAGATGATGATGGTGTGTGGAGGTGGGGTGGTGGTTGCCCAGCACAGCAAACAGCCTAAGCCTGTCCTGTCAAACCCAATGGCATGCAACTGACCACACCACTCACTCACACCTCAGAACAGCGGTCAATCAAGCGCAAGCACTCCGCTTCGCCTTGTGAAACGCTTAAGGGAAGATGCCGTCAGTTTTCAGTCGACACATTTCAGCTGAAGGGGGTTCCTGGGGGGTCGTGTTTTTATGCTTTTTATGGCAGCTGGAGAGTAGGGGCATCTGATGAGCCTGTTTGCCAAACGTGAGGCCCAGTGGAGTGGATGCTTTCAGTCAAATAGCCTTCGATATCCCTATCACGTGAATCTTTAGGGTATTTAGAATAATTTCAGGAGTAACAATCATCGAGATACCACTGCAACATCAGTACTGGACTTCCGCTTGTAGAAGTACAGGCTACATTAACACTCAGCTATTCATATAAGTTGCTCATTACAAAGATTTCTGTTTGACCTGAACCAATTTACAGTTATAGGTAAGGGAAGTGCAAATCATGTTATGCATAAAATAAAATATAGAAAAATATACAGTCATTGAAAAAATGGTCTTTCACTCTAACTTTTTAAACAAATCTGCATTATTAAATCCTGGATTAATCATGGTTCTGCTGGCAGAGGCTACGCTGAGCAGTAAGTTCCTTCCAGGTTCAAAATTTCTAAGGCAGGAATACACAAGAATAAGTTGAAGCAGGAGACACTGGGTATGGTAAAGGGCGAAAGTGAGATGACCGTTAACTTATCCGACAATTTCTCATAAATTGTAAGAAGACATCAAGTGACCTTCAAAAGGAATGGGAAACACTAAATGCAGGTGCTAGGACAGTTTGTATCAGGCTTCTAGAAGCAGTCCCATAAAGCAAGGAAGAACCCCTTCATTAATGAGGAACAGAGAAGAGAACCAGGCTGCAGTTTGCAAAATATTATATATATATATATATATATATTTTTTTTTTTCCTCACAGAAGCATACCCATAAATTGAGAAATGAGTGAAACAAAATATTGTGCTGTGATCTCAGTTTAATACAGCAGCGGAAAAAAATTAAGTTCAAAGCATCTTAAAATATACATGCAGTAACAATCCATCTCCAACTCCTGGCATTCACTAGTGATCAATGATACATGAAATTAACGTCCATGAGAGATGAACAATAGCATACAAACGTACAGGACACCTCCACCATGCACTGTCTCCACATACAGTATTTAGGCTGTTTTGTGTCACACATCTGGTCATTTCAGCCTTCTTGGGACTTGGACATCTGTCAACCGATCTGCAGTGTAAATATCGGCCTGGGTTTGCACTTTAACACATGGCTATTTGCATAAGGACTGAAAATGATGCTATATTGATCGGGGAACGCTTGAGGTTATCACACCACACTCTCTGAAGCTCGCCAATGCTCAGTTTACCATGTCTCTCGTTACTGGCACTTAGGGTTGCGCTCATTTAACCTTGAAATGCGAGAATTTTCTAATACCTTGAGGAAATTGCAATATAAGTTTACAGAAAGGTAGGGGGAGAACAGCTAGCCCTAATTCTCCTTAACGTTATACATGATCACCTGGCAACACGAGCTACAAACACATGCCAAATGCCCCCATTTTGCACACCCCATAAACACACAGCACATTTCAAAATGACACTCAAGATTACAACCACGGAAAACTGCAGCATGTACTCAGATACACTGCAACAATGTGCATTATATTTCAGTTTATTATTATTATTATTATTATCATCATTATTATTATTAATAATAATAATCATCGTCATTTATATTTTCTCTATGACCCTGTACTGGATCAGTGGTCATGATGGAAAGCTCAGCATGATTATATACACATAAAACATAAATACACTTTTTGTGTGTGCGTGTGTATCCTCTTCCGAAAACCTTCTCCAGACAGATATAAATACCCAGCTCACCCCAATATAATTACTGAAAACAGTCTGACAGAGTGGAAGTTCGTTCAAGAGAGGACAGCATAAGCATTAAAACTTAGGCAACATTTTTGAATAATAAATTTCCAGCAAAAAATGTCTGCGGATGCCTCGTTCACCGGCGTCCAGGACATACAAACAGCGAACAGGCCGGCGGTACGCAGGGCCCGAACGCAGACAGTATAAGCTGATACCTCAGCCACTAAATACACAAGAACAGACAATAAGAAAAAGGCCGTTTTTTGTCTTTTTTTCGTGTAATAGACAATTAAGTGTGAATAATGAAATCAATATGTACTAAGAATATATCGCCATTAAGGGAAGGAGAAATGTAAAGACAAAGCCTGGGGTAATCTGAGGATAACGTGCCACTAGTGGCTGTTTACGTTAAATATTATTCCGCCATTTTCTAAATATCTGTTGCAATGTCGCCAAGAGGTTTTGCTTATTTCCCATTCGCACTGGGGCGACATGGTCATTGTTTTAGATATATAATTATAACAATTAAATCAGGCGCTCAGAATGAAGGACAAAAGTGAAATCTCATGTGAACATGAGATTTCACTTTTGTCCTTCATTCTGAGCGCATGAACCACTGCTTCAAGAAAAAATGCATCTACATATTTAAAAGTAATTTGAACATAATTTTCAGCAAATATATGAAAAAGAAATGCGTGCGGTGTTAAATGAAAAACATATAGGCCTAACTGATAAAAATCCACAACCACACAATTATTATTCCTTGAACCGAATACAGCATGTTAGCCACGATAAGAAAACAGAACTGTGTTACATTATATTTTGCGTTTGTGTAGTGAAGAAAATTAATTTCAATTAATACCGAGGTAACTCCAGATTATAGGTGCAAGTAAAACAATGTAAAATATAAATATACACATGGGCCACGCAGTGCTGTGGCTACGACTGCTCTGTGAACCATCAAAAAGGTTATTTTTATAAATAAATAAATAAATAAATAAATAAATAAAAAAGGAATTGTCAAAGAGATTGAACGCAACGCCACCGCGCGCCTGACGGGCACAAATCCTCCTTACATGCGGCGAGCGCGCCGTGTCGGGAACGCGGGACAAAGCGCGCTCACTTATCCGTCATACAGCCGGGCACCGAAGCCGAGCAGAGCGCCTTTCGGCTCGACCTCGCAAACGGAAAGTTCCTGCGAAACGTCAGCGGCCAAATTTTAGTGAAAATTAAGAAAATCTGTGGAACTGTAGTTCTTTTTTAAATTCGTTTTTCATCTATCACATTTTATACTTAACATGAGGTAAGAGCCATTTTAAAACGCGGCCGGCGGAGGCATAATCCACTGATACATCCCAACGGTGTGAATTTAACTGTTCCGTGCACCAGACACATTATGCATTAAAGTCCATTAAATGTGATTTTTTTTTTTTTACACGCACTATAAAACTATCTTCCAGACCATATTACTGTAGCCTATCTCCATATAAAAACACGCATTTTTGTATCTTTGAGGTAAATATTGATGATTCTTTTACTTTACTACAATCTTATATTTCAACGATACGACGAGTTTATCGAAAATTTAAGCAGGGTAATCTGTTTTTTTTTTATTTTGCTGGGGTCAGATTAGCAATTATAAATGACCATGTCCATCTGATTACTCCGCAGAGGACCTACTTAATGGTACTAATCTTCCCTGTCTGCTTGTCACAGATTTTCTTTCTTTTTCCTCATTTAAAAGCAAATCCAGCCACAAGGGGTGCATTATCACAGAACCCTCCCGGGACTGCAGTAGCCAATTAAGTCCATCTGCCAATCAAATGCGTACCGAAAATTAACTCTGACACTGCCATTTCGGAACTAGAACTGCCAGATTTTCTTAGTACAACCCTGCACTCCAGCTGTCCCAGTGTATTACAGATTTAAAAAATAAAAATTAACTCTGTTGTATTTGTGGCCCTTGTTACCCATAATACTTTTAAGTTCGGAACGCAATTTTTTTTATTACTGTGTGGTATTTTCTTTACGTTGAGAGAATAGCAAAGTGCAAAGAGTCTTGTGGGTTTAAGGTTCTAGACTACAGGGGACGCATCCACTTCCTGATTAAGGTTTTTACAGTAAGTTTCCAGCCCCTTCATTTGAATTAAATAGCATGTCCCATTTTTCCTCTAAGTAGAGGTGGGCAGCCAGGGTAAGACGCAGCAGCAAGCTGAGGAGGGAAGATAACCACATTCATTCCCCTTATCTGGAATTATGTAATACATCCAGGCAGAGGGGGCCACATTGGCAGCAAACAGAGGGATTGTGGGACTGTCGTCATGATACACAATTGCACGACATTCCTTTCCCAGCTGCTGTTCCGCACAGAAATGGCAGGGAAGGTGCGCTATGCCCCATCGCAGCGGAACACCTGCACCATATTCCTCTTCTTCAGCTGACCCTGCATTTGCAGTTTTGCATTTAGCTGACCACAATGGCAGCATATTATAAAAAGCATTATCATTATACAGCAAAAGCGGACGTTATTCTCCTACAAATGGTGACACTGGGCCGATCTGGACTGAAAGGCAGAAATAAGAATCTCTCGCAGTATTTTTTCGTAAACTTTGTTAGTCCTCTGCGACGACAATCTGTGGGGCCATATAAGAAAACAAGCCTTAACAATGTATATTTAAACAATATGGCTGTTGCCATTTCTCCTCTAGACAGCAGGGCGATTTGAAACTATTGATGCGAAACTAGGTTATGACTGTTTTCAGTTTCCAAAACCCTGCCATGCGGGGCACTGTGGTGATGAGCAGCCGGATGAAATTATAAACTTCCCCTTCAATCAAATCCATAAGTATAATGTAGAAGTGGTTCATTGCCCTTACCTTCTGCAGCAGTTGTGAACCTGAGTACTTGGCTGAAATGGATTTAATCTCTCCCCCAAAGGCAGAGGCCCACAACTTCACACTGTAAATAACAGTCAGACCAAAAAGGGAAGTATCAATATGCTGGTTCTCAAGGAATTATGTTTACAGTAAGCATAAGACACAAACAGAGGACGTCCGTCCTCACAGTATCACATCGTGAAATGTATAACTATTCACAAAAAAAGTTGACTCAAATTAAATGTATAAGTTTGCCTATAGTACGTTTTTTTTTGTAACATTATGCTATTTAAATGTAGCAGTAGACTACGTGACATGCCCAGATTTTTAGGAAACTGTAGCTTATGATGTGGTCATTTAGCAAAAACGATTTACAGTATTTGGTGATTTTAAAAAACATTGTAAAATGTTTTCATATATATTCGTAAAAGCAAAATAATGGTTTGGAAGTGCGGCAAACCTAAAGCGCATTTTACTCGTACTATAAGCCTGAGTTGTGGTACCTCTTATTATTGCAATTCGAGACAAAACAGTTGAATAACTGATCTAAGCGAACAACTGGCGTAAGATAAACTTATTGCCTGTCTCTAAAGTTGTAACGCATAATATTCATCACTTACACAGACAACGGTATCCCTTGCTGGGACCCATCTACACCGACGACCGTCGTGCCAAGTGTTGTCCACAGCAAGAATAAAAAAGCACAACACGCATGCGAATAGGTGGTGTTCAAATAACGATGCATCTTTGTATATTTCCTTGAGACTAAAGCGCGTTCGAGGATCAAAATCACAGTCCTTGTATGCCGCTTACTGTAGTGCTTCCCAGTATTTAAAAATCCCCAGATACGCCGTACCATTAATAACCATTAATGTCTGTTCATATTTATTATTATTCCCGTGGGTTCAGGTGCAATAAAGATGATGAACCAGTTCGGTAGTTTATTATTTCTCCGCGTCTCCGGGTGGTTATTCTAACCGTCTCATGAGCAGTTATTCTGTATATTGTTCGGAGAGTAATGGTGCTTGTTAGGCGCACACAACTCCTGCAGTAAGTCCGATCAAATTATAGGGATGACCTAGTGCTCCTCAGAATTGCCCTTTCACCGCTAGAAAACGGAGGGTGAGAGATGGCAAATTTGGATACGGCAAGGAGAGTAAACTCGTTAAACCCGGCGACGAATCTTCTCTCTTTCTGCTGATGTTGTTGCTGATGTTACGGATATTGTTCCAGATAGCGATACTTTTCTGGCCAGGTTTAGGACTGCCTTGGGTCCATTTTAGGGTACACTTATCGTATGCTCTTTTCTGCGTCCCCGCGAGATCAAGTCGTACAGCATAGCTGGTTCACTGAAGCAAGAATTACTGGAAAAGTGCTGACGAAAAGCCAGGAAGAAACAGAGGTTGGGTGGCAAAAAGGAAACAGATCGAGCTAACAAAAACGAAGACTCCGAATCCCTCTTTCCGAAAGCGTGCAATAAATGCACTTTGTTGGATGGATGTCAAGTGGGCAGTGGTTATGATGTAGCTTCCACACGGGAGAGCGCACACCCATCCGAGGTCTCCCGACTTCATTCAGCGCAGCGCCGCATGACAGATTAGGTTACACTGCTGGTGTAACCCGCGGAATGAAGTCACTTTTCACCCACAGAAAACAGGAACCATGCGGTGCTGGCGTAGCCAAACTCATAGGTCCTTTCCCCGAAAAAAACGATCCGCTTGTTTCGTCTTCAAAAGCGAAGGTTTATTAATCAGTGTCGAGTTTACGTGCATCTCTCCAGCGACACGCAACTGTGAGCCGTACTGAAAAAATGCCTCCCCTTAACGCCCCCTTTTTTGGCTGTATCATCCACCGATGTATGCTATTTTTATTTTTCAACTGAACTTACTTAAAGGCTCTTTGAATTGAAGGAAATGCAGAATAAGTAAATCAATGCGAACTAAGTGGCTCAAGCACCTAAATAAATTATTAATTGTGAAAAAGTAATGAATGAAAGCGACCATAAGCTAACCGGCTCAGCGCCGGAAATCCATCGCAGAAGGATCTCACGGATGGGGTAGGTGTTTCCCTAGACCCCACTTGATATGCATATTTTAAATCTTGTTTATTTAATTTGTAAAGTTTTTATGCTCTATTCAGTAATGTCATTTTGTGTGGCACACAATAAGATGGCTATGCTCTAACTTTATTGAAATAATTAGTACAATTACGAAAGCAAACTAATCAAATAGGCTATGTAGTCATTGTCTAAATATTTTGAATCTTAATAAATTACAGGATTTGGGAAAATTAAACCGCAACCAAGAAGTGTTACCAAACACTATCACGTGAGGGGGTAAAATTAATTTGCTAAAATGAAACGACACTTTACGTAGCCTACTTAAACGCAACATATGGATGCATATTCACCATGTGATATATTACGAGGACGCTTGCCGAAATAACAAGCAGGAAACCAGGGCTTCTTTTACCAGTGTTTTACTGGTAAGCGCAGAGTCAGAAGAAAAAAGTAAAAGTAACATAGTGCAGTATTACAAAATATAGCGTTCTCAAAGTTAGGCGCTGCATGACGAACAGCACCAGTCAGGTATAATTAATCAAATGTATTATACTCTTTCCACTTAAGAGTATAAAAATCCATAAGCATAAATCTAAACATTACAACAGGTCTTACCAGCTCCTCATTCAGTACAACATCAATCAGAAAAATGAAAAGGTCAGTTTCTTTCAGGACTTTGAACTTAGCAGTGTTACGTTCTGCCTGTCATGTCCACTTGACCCTCCTGTCTCCTCCCTGATGTGGACCTGATGAGCCACGCCTGTTGCTTGTTACCCCTCGTTAGTCTTTGTATTTAAGTACCTGTGTGGTTGGTCAGCTTCAGTCTGGTGATTAATATTGCGCCTCCTGTCTGCCTGTGGCCTGCCCTATATTTGCCTTCTTGTTCTGACCTCTTGTGGACTTGATTGTTTCCCTGTTCTGTTTGCCCCTTTGTTTGCCAAATGCCTGCCCCATGAATGGGGTTTTCCAGTAGTAGTCTCTGAAACTCCTCTCACTCTTCTTCCTCTGTTCCCTTTGCTGAAGACCACATGGGGAAAGACGATGCTCCTCATTCTGTTTTTGTTTGGCTTGTTTTTCTGCAACAGTTTTAGCTCATTTTGAGCTAAGTAGGCTGAACTGTGTGCATATCTGGCATTTGAGCAAAAGCTCTGCAGGTGTCCAGCCTGTCACTGTAGTACAAGAGCTAGAAGTTAACCAGACAATGCTTAACTTGCATAGAAGACTCCCCCTCCCAAACTTCTGATGCCAAACTGCTTTACATGGTATAAGAATTTCACAGACCAATACACATAAATATGATGGGGCAATGAAATTTTTGCAGGAGTACTGCACGATAAAATTCCCAGAATGGGCCAGTAGTAAATATTTGAAAATACTTGAACAAATCACACCTTTTCATGTATTGATACAGACCACAAAATTTTGCTTTTTAAATGTGGTAAGATCCCATAATATACGGGACTGGTGGCTACCCAAGTGGTCTGTCGCCCAGTGGAATGCTGGTACTCCAGGATGGTGTGTCCCAAGCCGTTCCTTGGGAATTCACAAGATGGTCCACGTTTTTGCTCCCTTCCAACTCCCTGCCAGACAGTCCACATTTTTGCTGCTGGGAGGGAGCAAAACAGGGATTATATGTGGCTTCCCAAGGACTGGATTGGGTAGCACTGCTCTAGGATCTTACATAAGTGTTACTTTGAGATCTCTCCCATGCCTTTTAGCAGCTCCAATTGGAGGCCAATACAGAGAAGTACCTGTATCTGACTATAAATACATTTTGGGGACACTAGAGATATCATTGCCGTAGCTATGCTGTCTTCAAGGCTCCTGAAATATTCCAGTCAGTCTTTTCAGATTATGTCCTCATAAAAAGAACACGTGGGGACTGGATGAAGTGCTCACTCATCTGGAGACTGTGCAAAAGTAACGTGAAGTGTGAGTTTTGGCAAAACAGTGTGGAATACCTGGGTCTTCAGGCAGATAAATAATGATTACATCCTACAGAAGAGAAAGTTTGAGCTGTTGCTGCAGCACCTACACCTAACATCCCTCAGCTGAGGTCATTCTTGGAACTAGTTCCAAATGGGGCTGTTGAAATAGCACTTCACTTACTCAAAGGAGGGCATGGGAGAGATCCAGCATACTGAATTCTGTACCTCCAGTTAGCATAGCTAATAATCCACTGTATTGGGTAATGGGTGCATCTCCTCTTATGATCTGGTTAATGGTCACTCTTTACTCACCGCATACTCGGACTTGCCCCTTTTTGGGACAGTCACAATGTGTACTGCACACTCCCTCCTTTCACCTTTGGACATATTCTGCCCTCTCCTGGTCTATCCAACTCCAGATCCATGTTCCCCTTTAATGCATATGGCACCAGTCTGGCTTTTTGGAAAATGCTTGAGCATCAGAATGGATTTTGATTTTGGCTTTGAACTCTCTTATTATACTTGGCCCTTTAACAAAAACCGCTTTCTGTTTCCGTAGAGCAGCTTTGACTGCTGGATCTGTATCTGTCACTTTTTCTGCTGAGAAGATGCCTTTCCAGTCCAACTGAATTTCTCCAGCCTGTTACAATCGAACATTGGCCCCGTGTCCTAAACTGCCCCTATTGTCCAGCTTTCACAGTTACACCCTTTTTCCACAGTGGCAGCATTGTAAACTGTATACACTTCAGAAGCTCTGAGTAAACCTCTGTTTCTGCTGATTGAATATTCTACAGCTGATCTATAGTTCTTGCATGCATAAGTTGTGCGTCCAACTATTGAACATACATTGCAATTTTCAGCTGTGAATAGACATGACCAAAATACTTTCCCCTGCATCTGTAGCATGCCTGTTGACCTACATTTTCTTGTTTTTAATCACTTTTGCCACTTTTGTTTGGAAGTTGTTTGTTAAACTGCCCTGTCCCCCTCCTGGGAAATATTTTTAGTCCATTTATGACATTTATCTGCTGTACCTTGTTGCCTCTCCCTGCAATATACTTTGTGTCCTTAGATGCTAATTCAATGGACTCAGTAAGCTTATATGCCTTTGCAAAAAAATCCTCCTGAGCTAGTAATGCTAGCTTTAAACCTTTTGAGCGTAATGCACTAACAGTCTCTTCTCTGAGCAAGTCTATCAAAATCTCACGTTTAAGTCACGACAGTTTGTCCCTATCTTCGCACACATTGCTTAAAACGAAGCCTCTCGCCAATGACAAACAGCTTGGGTTTGTAATAAGCTAACAGCACTGGGTGTTCTGGATGAGGTAGGTCTTTTCTCAACCACTGGTTCGTAGCCTGGTAGCGAGCTGTGGACTGCTGTAGTGGGCAGGGAAACGTGGTTCGGTCCATAATGGGCCGCTGCCTAGGAAAATTCCCTGGTCGGCGTAATTAGGGCTGAGTAATATAAACAATATATCAGCTTATTGTCATATAAAATTTAACAAATAAATCTGACTTTGATACATTTTCCATAAGTAATATTGCTTGTTAGTACACATCAAACGTCCCCGAGAATGAGCAGCGAGGCAGGCAGATACAACACCTAGCAACACACTGTACTGTCGCCGTTTTCTGATATTACGCCTTCCCACAATGTTTTTTTTTTTTTTTTGTATAATTATTAAAATTAGATTTCAGTTTGCAGTCCATTCAATTTGTCACCTTTTTTCATGTTCATAATCTGTTTGGGGCAAATATCAGGGAATTTCAAGAAAGGATAGAGCCTGGAAGTAAAGAGATAATTAATAAAATTATCGTGATAAAATATTTGGTAACGCTTTACATTAACTGCACCTTCATAATGCTTTTATATTGCACTCATAAAATATTTGGTACACCTTCATAATGTATTAATTAAGTATTCATATAACATTCATAAACATCATGTATGCATACCTTTACATCCTAACATCCCTTAATAGTTGTAATATACATTATTAGCAAACATTATATAATAATAACAAACATTATAATTGTATAATCATGTAATGTTTGTTATTAATGTATATTAAAGCTGTTAAGGCATGTTAGGATGTCAAGGTATACTTGCATGCTGCTTATGAATGTTCTATGATTTCATTATGAAGGTGCACTGAATGTTCTATGAATGCATTATGCATGCATTATGAAGGTGCACTGAATGTTCTATGAATGCATTATGCATGCATTATGAAGGTGCACTGAATGTTCTATGAATGCATTATGCATGCATTATGAAGGTGCACTTAATGTAAAGCGTTACCAAATATTTTGCCTGGGGTGTCATGGTAGCACTGTTAACAGTGTTGGGTCAAAGACTTTTAGGCTGCATAACTAACCATTAATTTATTATTATTGTAATATATCAGTGTGTGTGTGTGTGTGTATATATATATATATATACTGTATATCCATCTATCCATCGTCCAACCCGCCTATCCTACTGGGTCACGGGGGGTCTGGAGCCTATCCTGGGAGCAACGGGCACGAGGCAGGGAACAACCCTGGACGGGGGGCCAGCCCGTCACAGGGCACACTCACACACCTAAGGGCAATTTAGCAACGCCAATTAGCCTCAGCATGTCTTTGGACTGTGGGGGGAAACCGGAGTGCCCGGAGGAAACCTCACGACGACACAGGGAGAACATGCAAACTCCAGAGACTCAAACCCAGGTCCCAGAGGTGCGATGCACCACCATGCCACCCCTATATATATATATATATATATATATATAAATAAAATATTATTAATAATGTAAAACTCACAAAATAACTCACAAAACACATCAAACTGACAAAAGAGTACCAATAAAACATTTATTTGACATCTCAGGGTC